TCATAAGCCCTGCTATGAAGACTGCATGAAAGAGTCAAGTGCAAGTGGCTTTCCTTGGTACTCTTTTTATCTGCCACCATTCCAGTGGGAAACGTGCTCTTCCTGCTAGTTTTGCTCCAGGTTCATGATGTTTGAAGACAGCACTTCTTTCCTCTGCTACCCTCCGTCTAACATTGGTGTGCTGCCCTCAGGCTTATCCTAAGTGAGCATGGCTTATTCCCTTCCCTTTTCCAATCTCATTTAAAACTCTCTCATTGAGCCCTGCCAACTCCTAATCAAAGATCCTTTACTCCATTTGAAACAGTGGTACTCCATCTGCTGCCACGAGGCCTGGTGTCCTCTAAATGACCTGTTGTCCAACCCACCCCGTTCTGCTGGTAACATCAGGCTTGGAGCCCAGTAGGATTTTCCTGTGTCTACCCTCATCATTCTCTGCAATTGGCAGGATAGCAGAAAACACTGCATGTGTCTCAGATCCCTCAACAAGTCATCCAGAGGCCCTGAGATCTCTCTTGCTTGTCCTCAGACATCATTAGGTACTGATACAGGGCACATACAAAGATGTAGGTTCCAACAGCTAAAAATTAACACAGATGACCTTCTTGCTGAGCAGCTCCTGAGGGAAAGAAATATTCATGACTTGTGTGTGCAGGGCCCCCAAGGCACAGAAAGCTGTTGGAAAGCCTTCTAGAGCACCTTTGGTAAAATTGCTCAGGAAGCACCTATTAAACCCCAAGTGTTCATAACCTCAAGCATACAGGCAATGACAGCTCTCCTCTGGGATGATCCCAAGGCTCATAACCAGTATCCAGCTGAGAAGCTCGATGAACATGGCCAATGCCATTCTCTGGAATCAAGCACAGATCAGAGAAATCACTTCACACTCAGAGAAAGGAAACGAGAGAAAAAGCTGATTGTCCATGCTTCCATGGATAACAGGCTGTGAAAGGCCGCACCAGCATCAACCCTGCATGTTTCTCTGGGCCAGGGACCAGCAGTTCATCCAAAGGGAGCAGAGCTGCTGGGCTAGAGCTGAATCTTGTTTTTCCGGGTGGGTGCCTCCTGAGCTTGCCCCTCTGGGATGTCCCAGTGCCACAGTGACTCTAGTGCTGAGTTTCTGGCCCTGCACTACCACTCTCCACCTCTCTGATCATGAGGACCCTCTCTCCACACAACCCCTGAAGCAGCTGCAGCCACTCCACACCTCTCCGGGCTGTGTCTGCCCCACTGCCCACGCCATGCTGTTTTCCTGGCTCACCCAGTCCTCACCCTGGCCCCACTACTGTCAGCCCAGGGTGGGGGATGGCCCCTGCCCGCCTACCTGCTCCCTGCCCTTGCACTAGAGTAAACTGGGCATCCTGGGCTTGCAGGGCCATCAGAAAGAGGAGGAGGCAGTGGGTGAGGACCACGACCTCCAGTGCTCGCAACATTAAGGCAAGAACTCGATGCTTTTGATGAAAAAAAAAAATATTCATTTAAAAAATCATCATCTTCTGGTGTAAAGTATCCCTGTTAGTAAAGGGACACCAGGATGGTGTGGACTGGAGTGAGTCCAGGGAAACCCTGAAGTTCTCCCGTGAAGAAGCCCTCTCAGCCAGAGAGCAGCTGGGACAAGCAGGCAGAGGTGCGAGGTCTGTGCCCATGTTCCTGTACAGCTGGGCGAGCTCTGCCGCAAAGATCTCTGGTGGCAGCTGTTGTTGAACTTTGTGTTTGCTTGGTCTCTCTTACCCCTACCTGCTCCTTATCTGACTCTGCTTTGCCTTTATCTCTAGACTGAGCTTTGCTTTCCCAGAAACAGTCTTTATGGGCTTGTCCTTGTGCTGCTCGGTCTTCCTGGGTCCTTCTGTACAAAGAGATTTCAGAGGAGTCTACTCATGGATATGAATTAAGAGCCCAGTTAAAGGACTGTACCACAGAGGTTTCAGCACAGTGCTCCCAGGAGCTGCCTTGGCACTCCAGCACTGTGCAAACAACTCCATTACCAATGGTAGCAATAAATAACTGGAGAAAAAACTCTTCTTCTCAGCTGTGACATGACTATGCAGCCAATGAGTATTCCAAGCAGGGCACAGGCGAGACTGCTGCAGTTTGTAGGATATAGTTCTTGCCCGGCTCCCAGTGACCAGCAGTCTCAGCCTTTCCTCCAGCAGCGGTCCCTTGCTGGAGCAGAGAATTACACACTTTTCTGTGCTTGGCACTATGGGTAATCTCAGATTCAGGGTTCTTCAGATGCACAAGGGATTTTGTTTTCAGAGACTAGTGCCTCTGGCTCTGTGTCTTAGGACCAGGGGACAAGAAGGATCCTTTAAGGTTCTCCTGGAGAAGAGCCTCTGTGCCAGTGAGCAGCTGCACCAGCGCTGCCCAGTCTGTTCCTTCAGGCTGCAGGCCAGGGCTGTATGCTGGGGACCTGCAGTTCATGGAGTCTCATTCATGGAGAGCACTGGAGGGATACAGCACAAATGCTCTTCTTTTTCCAAGTCAAGTGCCAAGCACTCACAACCCTGTAGGTGAAGAGGTATTCAGCCTAAGGCCTGTAGCCTGTCCTAGAGCCCATGCAGTCTTTTGGCGCACTGGACTTCAGTGAGGCACAGGAGCCCTCTGCCTGAGAGGAGTGATATGTCCCTACTGTGCCACATTTGCAAGGCCGCTTGTCCAAATCTAGGAGATGCTGGTCCAAGAGGTGATCATGAACTGGGAAGTTGCAAAATCCCTTTCAGTAGAAGAGACCATCAGAGTGTGGATTTCTGGAGCCCTTGCAGTACTTCAGAAGTGTATGAACCCATCAGTGGAGGTGGTTTAAAATGAGCACGTCATAGATCTCAACTAACTGCAATACTTACAGTGATAATTATACTGCAAGGTGTGACGTGTACCTCAACAACATCTCAGTTCATCCACACTCAATGTGCCCTTCTCCTTGCTTCTTCCCTCTATGGGAGTTGTGTGTCAAGGTCATTTTCCCCCATCCTAGAAAACGGTTTCTGCCATATCACTTACAGTCACTTCAACTAGTCATGAAACACGGAATCATAGAATTGTCAAATTTCTAAAAGATCTCTAAGTTCAAAAAGTCCAGCCCTGAGCCTAGCACTACCACCTTTTTCACCACAAAACCACATCCTCAAGTGCCATATCTACAGACTTTTTGAATGCTTCCAGGGACAGTGATGCCACCATTTCCCTAGGCAGCCTGTTCCAATGCTTGATAACCCTCATTGTGAAGAAATTTTTTTTAATAACCAGTCTAAAACTCACCTGATGCAAGAGACCATTTTCTTTTGTCTTGTCACTTGTTACCTGGAAGAAGAGGCCAATTCCCACTTCCCTACAATATCTTTCCAGGTAGCTGTAGAGATCAATAAGGTCTGCCCTCAGCCTGCTTTCCTCCAGGTTAACAACCCCAGCTCCCTCAGCTGCTCCTTATCAAACTTTTGCTCCAGACCCTTCACCAGCTCCTTTGCCCTTCTCTGAACACACTCCAGCATCTCCATGTCTGTCTTGTAGTGAGGGGCCCAAGATTGAACACAGGATTCAAAGTGTGGCCCCACTAGTTCATGCTGATGACACAGTGATATTTTGTTTGTTGCTCAACAGTGCTCATCCTAAGTCAAAAGGACTTTTCAGTCTCCCGTGCTCTGCCAGAGAGCAGGTGCACAAGAGGCTGGGGGGAGCATGGCCAAGAGACCTGATCTGAGCTGGCCAAAAGAATATTCCGTACCGAAGACCAACATGCCCAGTATAGAAACTTGAGGAGTTACCTGGAAGAAGGCTGATTGGGGTTCGGGGACAGGGTTTGGCATTAGTTAGCAAGTGGTTAAGAGTTGTATTGTGTGTCAGTTGTTTCTCTTGGATTCCATTTCTCTTGGATTCCGTTTCTCTCCTTCTCTTTATAATTACAATTATTACTATTAGCATACTTAGTATCATTCAGGTTGGTTTTTTTTTTTTCCCAAATATTAAGATGTTTTAATCTCAATCCACGAGATTTATTTTTTACTTTGTGTTCTCTCCACCAGAGAGGTTGCAGTGGGGAGGAGTAAGTGATCCTCTGTGTGGCACTTAGTTGCCAACTGGGCTTAAAACACAACAGTTCTTTTTGTCACCCAATGTGGAGCACAAAAGGTCAAGATTACAGCAGTTCTGAGCCGACTGTGATAACCCAAATTTGTTTTAAGCATTTTGTTTACTAATTTAGTAGTTGCTTGTCATCATGTTGCTACATTTACTCTCAGAGTTCCTATGTGTGTGCTTGGATGTACTTTATAAAATGCAGTTCTTGCAGTATGTGTTGCTGTGGTGATGTTTATCCTCGAGGGAGTCTGGGCTAAGACTACCACTGTATTGTTCTTTCCAGTAGTGTCTGATGATACGATAAATCGCCAGTCATGAACCTAATCTGGTATGCGTACTCTGCATTGGCATCTCGTCTGTACTTCAGGCGCGATCTAGTGGGAACTATCAGTAATAACACCTCTTACTGTTGCTCCATGGGGAGTTCCTGCACTCAGAGGGGGTGTGTACTCCTTGAGTACTGCATTCAGTTTTGGGCCCCTCATTTCAAAAAGGACATTGAGGTGCTGGAGCATGTCCGAAGATGGGCAACAGAACTCGTCTTACGAGGAACAGTCTTGAGAAGAGGAGGCTCAGGGAGGACCCCACAGCTCTCTACAACTACGCAGAGGGAAGTTGTAGTGAGGTTGGGCCATCTCTTCTGCCATGCCTGCACTGAGAGAGGGCCAGAGGAAGTGGCTTTAAACTGAGACGAGAGATTCAGATTAGATATTAGAAAAGATATTTTCACTGTTAGGGTGGTCAGGTATTGGAATAGGTTGCCTAGCGAGGTGGTGGAGTCACCTCCCTGGAGGTGTTTAAGAGGTATCTGGATCTGGTGCTGGGTGATAAGAGTTCAGTGGTTTAGGCATTACAGTGGTGTTACTGGGTGGACAGTTAGACTGGATGGTCTTGTAGGTCTTTTCCAATCTTGATGATTCTGTGATATTCTATGATTAATACTAAAGGACTTGTGAAATTTTCCATCGGGTAGGAAAGTTGGATTTGGCTTTTGTTACTCCCACTCTTATCCAAGGAATCTGTTCTTTCTGGATGTTTGTTTTATATTCTTTCATTGGAGGGTGATTCAGTCTGTATCATAACTCTGTTGTCTTTGCACCTTCTCCTTCAGCATTAAAATATAAAAATTATCCTACCTAGACTTCACTTTCCATTATCAGTGACAGCACAATTTAGCTAGCTAATACCTTTGGAAAATTTCAGGCTCATTTTAACATTCATATAAAATGGGTTATCTCTATGAAATAGTTTTTCTGGTGCTTTTTAAATCACAAATAACTGAAAAATATTGAGACTACATTGCACTGGTATAAATAAATTTCTTCAAAGCCTGTTAAAGATTACTGTAATTAATGGTGGTGAAGGGTTGTACTTACTACTTGTCAGTGTTTTTGGAAAATATATTTACAACGCAGAAGTGAATTATTTGATATCTTTATATATTTTTTGTCTTTCACACATAGAAACAGAGGGGGCTTTTGCTCACAGATTTGCCATTGGACCCAACTTCTAATGAATGGAAATTTTGCAAATGTAAGACAGCTTCATTTACAATGTCTGTTCAATAATTTAATTTTTCATGTCAAAATTATTTCAGTTCTGTAAATATTATGAAGTGTGTATGAAGGCATAATATTATGAAGGCATACCTGGGAGGCATACACTAATGTTACCATTCAGTGTACACAGCACACGCCCAGAAACAACTCAGAATTATAACTCAGAAAAAAAAAAAGGCAGAGGAAACCTGGAGGGAAATATTTGAATATAATGAAAAATACTAGTGAAATTCCTTGAACAAATATATGCTGTTTTTAAAGACTGGATAAACAATAAAATGATTAGGAAAAAAAAAAACAAAAGCCCCCAAAAAACCCCCCACAAACAACCAAACCTGGCAGAAGTACATGTAAAAGAGAAAGAGAAAGTATTACAAGATTGAATATTTTATACTAAATATATTTAGAATATAAATGAAAGGTAGATGAGATTTTAAATTATTTGTATATGGATTATAAGAACACATCCATAGAAGACCTCCACATTTCTGAGTTTAAACCAGCCTGAGAGATTAGAATGAGATTCTTGCAGTCTTTTGGCATGTTAGCTGTTTTCTGCTGTTATAGGCAGGAAAACAAACTAGATATGTGGATCAGTTCCTAAATACCAAGTTCAAAATGAAAAAAATCTTCCTTCATTTGAGATAATGGGAAATTGTCTAGAAGTTTAGTGTAGACTGATCTGAGGCAGACAGTTTTGTCTAAATCAACCCTTCCAAGTTCTATGTATTTAAGGTAAGACCAGTATAAAAATAGTTAATTTAGAGTTAGATCAGGGATTTCTTCAGTGTTCTATAAACACTGATTTAACCACAGTATAGACATACTCAGGTACCTGAAACCAGATTAATAACCAGATTGATAAAGTATAAGTAGTTTCAAGGGCAGTTTCCCTTAAACCATTTCTAATAAAACAGTTGAAGCAGCAAATCCTCCAATCAAAGAGACGAGAACAAACTTGGATGGTTTATGCTTTGAGTTAATGCCATTGAAACAAAGATTAATACTGTGATTATTGCTGTTAATTTTTTCTTGCCCTTTCTTCTTATTACTCACATTTGTGTCTTTCAGGTTGGAATCTGGAATTGCCCCATCTTTCTGCTCCTTTTAAAGATGAAAGAATCTTTTTTTTAATGAAATGCATTGAAACAGTGTTAAAATAATTTAAATTGGTGTTGTATGGGGTTTTTTTGTTTGTTTCACCTTACAGGAACCCTTTATTTATATTGGTGTTGAGTCCGGTCAGGTCATTCTCTAGAAAAGGAAACAAGGAGAAAGCATTTGTTATGCAGTATCTGCCTTCAGACTCCCTCTTCTCAGTGAACATTGCAAGTACTAATTTGAGGATCAATCAGCATGCCTTTTGCTCTTCTCTGACTCATTCTCTTCAGAATGCTTTGAAAAACAAATTGTAAATTGATGAAGAAGCCTGTGCAGCCTTGGACTGCGATTAGATGCACTTAATGGAACAGAAAAAGTACCCTGCTGTCATGTTACAAGGCTAGGTACTTAGTTTTTGTTTTACACTTGTTTGATGCAAAGGATTTTAGTTGCAGGTCAGATGTTATAATTCAGAGGAGATGACACGTTATCTATTTTTTCATTTCAAAAGCATTGCAGTTTGCTCTTTGTATATTACGAATACAGCAGGGTTTGGATTGCTTTTCAGTAACTGGTGTGCTTTTGCTCCTTCATGTAGTCCTTTTAAAACATTCCAGGTTGGCTAATTTATTTGCAGTAGTAGTAGGCTTCCTGACCCTACACCAAGGAACACTACAGTGTTTTTGTTCCACACAGGCGAGAAAAATGGCAGAGCAGTCAGTACTGGACAGAAGCAACAACCTGTTCACCCAGCCTGATGAGCAGAACATCAGGTGTGACTTGAGGCTAAGATTTTTGGATAACCTCTTTTGGAAAATAAAATTTAATGCTCTTTTTCTTGCTGTCTTCTCCTAATCTCTCACCTACTATGGCTTCAGGGCTTCACCTCTTCAAAAGACCTCAGTTCTGCAAGATGCTGAGCAATCCACTGTTCTTGCCTAATCTGACAGAAAGCTTGAGGCTCAGTGCCATGTCTTTGATAGGACTCTGTGTAGGCTAAAACTTTAGTTGTGTTTGCAAATGACAAGTTAGCTTGCAGTTCTTTCACTACTGTGGAAAGGAACCCAAGCCTTCATTCATGCCTGGTATTGTGATGCTATCCAGCTTGCTGCTTAATTAGGCTGTAGAATTTTTGTTTTATTTATTGTTTTCAAATATGTACAGTGAGCTGCACTGATTTTCAGATTTTCTTCAGCCACAAAAAGCGTTTGCCTAAACCAGCCGCAATAACACACAGCTCCCTGGAGAGAGATGAGATCCAGCTTATACTTCAGCTCAGAGAAATCTTTTCGTTCCTGTTACCTCAATGCAGTTTTGCAGACCTTCACAGAAAATACTCTATTCTGATATGGCATGTTTATTTCATAAAATAGGAAGTCACAGTGGTTTTATACACATTTGTCTGTACTTGGTCTTATGGAAGAGCCTGCCAGAGGTTTCATTTGGTTACATTTTCTTTTTTATAAGGATTATTTGCCAAGAAACATACAATGTGAAGGGCTAGTGGATAAGATTACTAAAATAATCTTGCTCTCCAGCTACTCATATTTTCAAGATAATAAACAGATGTCATAGTTATTAAATTCTTGAGGAGAGCCCTTGGAGCTGCCCTGTTGTTGCTTTTCATATCCTTTTATGCAGTGCTATTACTCTTCAGCAAAGACACATTAATGACATCTACAGTAGTGACTTCACAAAATGTTTCTTTGAATTTCCTTAACTGTCTTAACTTTAAAACTTCTCTAAGCTTCAAACTTAAAGGAAGAGTTTGTCTAGACAGGTGCTTCTGGATTATCTGCATGATTCAACAAGAATATTAATATTAATATGATATTTAAACATCTGTTTAAAATACATGAATAATTATTCTCCTTAGGCATAATTTCATATAATAATGTCAACCTTGGAGTTATGAATTTCTGGGTGCTTGGAGAACACTTCTTCTCCCTTGTTAGTGCATGCTGTGTAACTGCAGCACAGGGAGTAACACAGAGAGGTTTGTTGCAGGAGGTGAGTACAACTGACTCCCTCCCCTCAGACGGCTGTAGGTCACTGTTACATGCTCAGACAGAGGTGCTCATTTGCTATAGATGTGGTATGATTGCTTTTGGTGCAAGATGACCCTGGTAGCTCCAATTTCCAAATTCAACCAGGAGCCCACCTGGGAGCAGCCGGGCCTGATGATTTCTTCTCCAGCAGAAGGGAGATGAGCTCTGCTGTGGAGCTGTCACTCTCTGCTGTGCAAGGCAGCAAACTCATCCCAAATGGTGAGTATTATTTTGATGAGGCTTTGTTTATACCCTCATGAGCAGATGCTAAGGAACACCAGGCTGGGCCCTGAGTCTCCTGAAGCTTTTACATTCTGGTTTTTTTTCTGTGTGTGTCTCCATTAAAGGTATTAATAGCATTTTCATGCTCATACATATTTTACCTATGTAAATTGGGAATGAAAGCAACCCTGTTATGGTCAGTAATGTCTCTGTATCCTATCTGAGGACCCCACGCCTTGCTCTGAGACTGTGTACATGCTATGCTTTTCACATTAAAGCATGCTGAGAGGTTTTTCCAAACCACAGCAGATATTTCTGAACTTTAACAGGTAGTATTTCTCATATGCCTCTTGAGTAAAGACAGACTCCTAGTTTCTTAACAGTACTTCTTATAGGCCTTTGAGATAAATAAAAATTACCAATATAATTCTAGAATTGGCTACATTTTTATTTCCTAGCAGTTTGTGACTTAGGACAACTCAACACAGATCTCTAGGAAATTATGTTCTCTGCAGAAGTTGGGAGTCCATTTTTTTAGTAATTTCTAGCTTTGTAAGACAAAATCTAGGGCTGATTCAGGATAAAACACTGTCTTTAAGGTTTTATGTATCAAGGAGGAGGAGGAGGAGGAGAAGTATTTCTGTTGTTTATTCAATCCATTGGCAGCTGTCTAGAGGTGTCTAGGAGCCTTTATGACCCATCTCCAAGATCAAATATAGCTATAATATATAATAGATTCAGCACAATTTTAAAATTTTTTTGAGTGTTTTTTCTGGTGTTGCTGTGCTGTTCTTGCCTCACTAGGTGGCAAACTTCACAAACTGTAGCTGGCTGGATTTTTTTTGCAGACCTTTAACCTCAAATAAAATAGCATGTGCTGGGAAAGCTTTGCTTGGACCTCATCCAAATAATATTTACTTCCTTTCATGTGCAAAAAAGGAGTTATTAGTGCTATAATTCAATCATTTTCTTTTCTGGGCTGATCTGTGAAAAGCCCATAGCTGCTGCAATGGAGTATTTACTTTCTATGTGTAGTGGTCTTTGAGATTATTGAGTAAGCAACTGGAAAAATGCCCCCTTTTTTCATATTTAAAAAAGAAACACCTCACATCAACTGTATTCATGAAACTCAAGCCTGGTTTATTGATACATAGATCAATAATTAGTCAAAATAAGAAAGAAGCATTGCCATTTCTTTCTGAATAATAAATATCTTCCGGTGTTACCATTTGTTCAGTATCATTATAAAGTGCAAGGAAAGCATATGACGTTCTTCATACTACAAAAACAAGGGTCATCTTCAAGAAACTTAAGAGGTCCCTCCAGCGTATAACTAAAATGACTTCAGAAACTGTGCAATCTGATTGAAGTAGTGATGGCAGAATAAGTAGCTGGGTGGAACAGAGAGCAGGATCTGCCTTGCAACCTCATGGATGAGTGACGTTTTTACTAAGCATCAGTGGGCTTTTCAGAGGAACTTATGTCTCAGGAGCATTTTGAAGAAAACAAAATGGATGTCTGATGCACAAGGGCACTAAGAAAAGGGTTTAGAGCATAAGCAGCTGTGGCAGGTCGGCCTGACTTTTATCAGAAACTCCAGAAGTACTTGTTATCACAAGTATAAGACATTGTGCATTTAATGTGTGTATTTTTTGTTGTTTGTTCTGTGATGTTTCTCACAGTAGGAAATGAGAGTGAAGAAAGATGGAGAAAGAATCAAGAAGCAACAGAGAGATTTTAATACAGGATTTGATAACAACCAGAGAGGTTCAGTCTCTGGGATGACAGTTTGGTTGAAACTGTTGGTGTAGCTGTTAGGCTTACTTTAAAGACACTGAATTTAGACAAAGAACAAAGCCTCTCTATGCCACAGCAAGTAAGTCCTCTGTGGGAATTTTTTGGGGTCTGTGATGAAGAGATTGCTGCCTCATTAGCAAGAATGAAGTGTGTTCAGGGGGAAGACTGAAACCAGTCAGATGGGTGAAGCCCTGTGGTCTGAACTGAAATTCGCACTTCTGAGTAGTCATGATGACAAACTGTGCATCCAGTGGCAGGTCACTTAATTATTCTGTGCCTGTGTTTATTTGCACTGTCAACTGTGAGATCCTGAAACAATAACAAGGGTTGTTTTAAAATCTTTTTGAACTGGAGGACCTAAACCTTCAGGGTTCATTTAAAATGAGGAAAGCATATTGGCTTTCTGTGGGAGAACTTTGTTAATCCTCTTCTTTTCAGACCTCACCTCCCCCCCTCCCTCATGTATTTCTTCACCCTTTAACCTGCATCCTCAGTAGATCTCTTAATATGATCTCCTGGTGTGATCATTTTCACATTATAATACCCTGTTTTCTATCTCCTCATTGCTACTCTCTCTATATACTCTTCATATTCCCCATACAGTCTGTTGATCCTGTCTGAATTTGTGTTCATCTTAATCATGTTGTCTCCCAAGGTTTAAGGTGAGATTTCCTCTCCACAGTCTGGCCCTGTTGTTGCCTTCTCTTTTTCCCCACGTACTCTCTGCATGCACCCAACTCATTTTTTCATCTGTGCCAGTGGTTTGTGATGTGGCAGCCATATTTCCTGGGAGAAAACTGGCCCCAAACAAAGCAAAGCAAAACAGTAGGAGTATGTAGCCTTCCTGGGCAGGCATAGGGATCCTTATACAAGCCCCACTGGGGCTAAAATGGGAGACTAAGACATTGTATGTGAGAGTACAAGTGCACTGGGAGGAAAACGTTCCTCTCCTAGTTGATAAGAGGGGCTCAAAGCACAGAAATGGGGAAAGGTTTTGAAATGGTGAGCTTCAAGGTCTGCTGTCCTTATAAGAA